GTAATAGAATAAAATAGTCCTGGTCATGTAATAGCCCTCTAAATATGGGCCATTAAGGCAGGCATAGGCAAACTTGGCCCTCCAGATGTTTTGAGACTTCAATTCCCATCATCCCTGACCACTGGTCCTGTTAGCTAGGGATGATGGGAGATGTAGTCCCAAAACATCTGGAGGGCCAAGTTTGCCTATGCCTGCATTAAGGTAACAAAGGAAGTGGTTCTGTGCCAGACAAAAAATAGATGGGCCATCCTCACTCAACTTGATGGTAGTTAGAAAGACAAAGGCCAGAGTTGAGAGCAGAGTTAATGTGAGCTAGAAAGTAGAAGCTCACAGGCTCCAGGCTGGGCAGCTGGGAGACAGAGCCATGCCTGATTTCTGTTGCAATTCAAAACCTTCTTGAGGTGTTGATGCTGCGAATCCTTCCATCATAGGCTTGGGTTGTATGTATGTGTAAATAAACCATGTATCCTAAACCATGTATTCCCTCATTCCAAGGAAACACAAATTCCTGGGCAAGCATTTGGAACTTCTGGAATCTTGCACTGTTGAAAAATTCCGGTGAGTGCAACAATATGTTCTTAGGCTACCTGCATTTTTGCAATATGGCATTCCTTCCATGCAAAGCAGTCTGATGCTTGCTCCATTTCAACTCTTACCTTTTCTTTTCTTTTTAGGCCAGCTATCTACTTTTTCACAATAACTTTAATTTTAGAAATATTTCCAATCTTACGTGTGATATAAAGTATGACTGGAACAGAATGTGTGTCATACATGAGGATGAACTCAGGCCACCAAAACTCATGATGCAGTGCAACTGCGTATAAAACACCAATGTGCAAAAACATCTGAGGGTTGAATGAACTGATATGCAACTGGGGTCCTACAAAATTCTTACTGGAAGATGGATTTTCTATGGTAGTGCAGTGTTCCTGATAAGGAAATGGAACAGAAATCTGGAATTATGTCAGCAAGCTTTGCATATATCTAGAAAATACCTTGCTTCAGAGAGATATCAAAGTCCAGATCTAGAAATGCAAGAACCTTTTGGGACAATTATCCAGTGGCTATGAAAAAGCTGGGGAGATTTTTAGTTGTACACTGTGACTTTAATTTTTATACTTATACACTGGTTTAAACCTATATTACTTCATTGTAAATATTGACCGTCAGTATATTTTCCTGGCAAAATTGTATTTTGTATTTTTTTTTCTGTTGTGAACTGGCCTGGGATCTTTGGATGAAGGGTAACACACAATTTTAAATAATAAGCATAAGAATTAATCCTGCTAGGTTCCTGAAAAGCTAAGGTTAATGAGGACTTATGGAGCAATCCTGCCTTCTTTTCGGACCTGGCAGAGCCACACAACAGCACCCAAATACTAGAACTTCTACCACCTGACTCTCATGTATACAACAGCTCCTACAACTTGGAAGGTATTGGAAAATGTAAGGTAAAGTAAGCTATCTTAACATGGTGGTTCGCCATTGGAAATGATCGCTTTGTGGAGTCTGAATTCCACTTAGAGCCCCGGAAAGCACAGCAAGCAAGGACAATGCCCAGAGAGAAATGCCTTTCTTTGAAAGATCCCAGCCCTATTGAGAGAGAAACAATTTGACTTGAGCATTGTCATTAACATCAGACACAGCCTTTGATGATATCTGAGCAACTGCTAGAGCTTTGAAGTTGAATGGTAGGATAGATGTATATGAATTGATCTCGGAGTGTGCTGTGACTGCACCATTATTGCCAGCAATTATTTAAAGAACAGACCTTCAGGGCGGGTGGGGGGGGAGGGTGAAGAGGTCCCCCCCCCCGCCTTGTTTCAGGAAGCATTCTCAGCAGCAACACATGGCAAGCCAATGAATTTGGCAGGCCCATGAGAAGCTCATTATCCATGTCCTTATTTATCCTCCTTTTAAAAAGTCTACATTGGTCTGAAGTTTAATGAGTTTAATGCATCAAGTCTGGACATTTGCAATAGATGGGTGCACAGGTGCATTTATGAAAAACAGCGTTCTGCAGAAAAAGGTCAGCACAGCCAATGGCTTATTAATTATGCCCTGTGCTTTGAGAGAGCATGGGAAATTAAATAGCTCCTATGACACTTACAGTGATCAACTTAATGAGTGCCGATACTCTAAGCAGCAAATAATCAATGATAGGAGGTGTTGCTGTTTTTTTAAAGTGGGGTACCGGCTAGTTTCTGAGCCCAATTCAAAATGCTACCAATGATTGTCAAAGCCAGGGGTCTGCAACCTGCGGCCCATGGGCCACAAGTGGCCCACGGGGGTCGTTTAAATGGCCCCCGAACTGAGCCATCCACTAGGCGAGTCCCTGTGCGCTGCATTGAACCGGCACAGTGTGGAGCGGGGACTCGCTTCCGCAGCGCCAGAAATTGTGTCTGCGCAGATGCAGACACCAGAAATCGCATCTGCGCATGTGCAGACATGATCTAGCCCACAGAGTGATCTCTGTGGGAGTGAACCGACCCAGGCAAGGTAAACCTTGCCGACCCCTGGTCAAAGCCATGAATGGTCTGGGTCTCCGGTCTTTGAAGCAATACCTTCTCCTATGTGCCTTAAGATGAAACAGATGAAGCTCTGCTTTGTGGTCTCTTATGAGTTCAGCAATGGCTCTTAGGTCTGGGACCTATCCCAGAGCTCTCTGTGTAGAAGAGCAGGCCCTCCTGGTGTCCCTATTTTCCAGGGACCATCCTGGATTTACAGCAGCCGTCCCAGTTTATTATTTGATCCCAGAATGTCCCAATTTTCCTTAGAATGTCTCTATATTCACTGGAGAAATGTTGGAGGGTATGGAGCTATGCAACCCTGGAGCCAACTACGCACCTTTAGAAGACATAGGAAGGCAGGCCTGTACAAGGAAGTTTTTCTAATGTTTTCTAATGTTTTTTATATGTTGGAAGCTGCCCAGAGTGACTAGGGCAGGGGTCGGCAACCTGCGGCTCCGGAGCCGCATGCGGCTCTTTTACACCTTTGCCGCAGCTCCACAGATCCTCGGGGACCCTGAGCAGAAAAGCAGAAGTGCCGGAAAGAGGAGGGGGATGGAGCTGGGCAGCCGAGCCAGGCAAAGAAAGGCTGCGGCGGCAGTGGAGCTTGAGAGGCGGCGGCTGCTGGGATGGAGGAGGAGGTGGCGGCCGGAGAAGGGCTGCTGCTGCTGCTGCTGCTGCTGCCAGAGGGAAGTTCTTCCAGGTGGCTTTATGGCTCATAGCTTCCCCCGGGGTAGAACGGGTGGCGGCGGCGGCGGCGGCGAGGGGAAATGCTCTCCCAGGCCACGCTCTCCTCAGCCCCGCGCGTGAGGCACCTGAGGTGAGGGAGAGAGAGCGCGCGCGCGCTCGAGGGAAATTGCGGGGCAGGGTTTTTGTGTGTGTGTGTGTGGGGGGGGGTGGCAGTGGTGCTTCGGGATCCTTTTCCATGCCTTGCTTCTGAGTGGCCGCCGAGTTGAGGGAGAGCACCTGAGGTGAACCACAAAATGGGCCCGCCCTCCCTGTCAGGGAGGAAGGGGTGAATAACGTCAGTGACGAGGAGGGGGTCCAGAGGTAGCCAGCAGGTGCCGTGATGGAGCCTCTCGGCCTCAGAGAGAGGCGGGGGAGCACGAGAGCAATTGCAGAGGGAGGGGGGCTGTTAGGCACCAAAATCCTGCATGCGGGATTTCCCCCGTTCTCTCGTGCCTATGCAATTCCTGCCCTTCTCCCTTCCGCCTCGAGATTTGCTGCAGAGACAAGCAAATGAAGAAGAAAGGGAAGAGAATTAGCTGACATGTCCCCGGATCCCATGGAAAGCACCACAGATTCCTTTGCTTACCAGCTCTTTTTATTTTAAGTTGGCTTCAAACCTGTAATTGTGTAGGTGTATGTATGTATACATATACACATATAAATATTCATATCTCTTCCCTCTCACCTTGATTTCACCCAGTTTCTCTGGCACTGGTTTATAAATGCTGCTATGTAGATATGATGAGAAAGTTGCACCAGCAGAAGGAATGGATATGTTCTGTTAGTAAAAAGAGTTGAACTGCAGGGAGGGACAGACACTTTTCTATGTATTAATTTGTATACTGCCCTCTATGCACATGGTGCTTTGCAAAAAATGGATATGAGAGGTACCATACCCCTCTTTACTATCTGAAATAGACTCAGGGAAAAGAGAGAGAATGGGGGAAGGGGAAGAATGTGTGGTTATTTACATTTGGCTTGTTTTGCGGCTCCCAGTTTTTTTCCCCTTCAGAAACGGGTCCAAGTGGCTCTTTTTGTCTTAAAGGTTGCAGACCCCTGGACTAGGGCAACCCAGTTAGACAGCTGGAGTATAAATAATAAAATTATTATTGTTGTTGTATTTGTTGAATCGGACACCCGTCTTTTCATCAGAGAAATGTTGTAGGGATGGATGGGGAAGACTGAGCATCTCTAAGTAAGACTGGGAAAGACTCCTGTCTGAAACCCTGGAGAACAGCTACCAGCCAGTGGAGACAGCAGTGAGCAAGATGAACCGTTTAGAAAAGGTACTTTTCTAAATTCCTGCTTGCCAGCACAAATTGCGTGGCCAGGCAGAGACCCCCCCCCAACCCCCAGGTGACCCCCAGGAGGAATAATGACTCATGACAACATGTTATGGGATTAAAATTGGCCACAGCGTTATTAAAAGCAAGTGTGGTGTAGTGGTTAAGAGCAGTAGTCTTGTAATCTGGTGAACTGGGTTCGTGTCTCTGCAGCTGCTGGGTGACCTTGGGCTAGTCACGCTTCTCTGAAGTCTCAGCCTCAGTCACCTCACAGAGTGTTTGTTGTGGGGGAGGAAGGGAAAGGAGAATGTTAGCCACTTTGAGACTCCTTCGGGTAGTGATAAAGCAGGATATCAAATCCAAACTCCTCCTCCTCCTCCTCCTCTTCTTCTTCTTCTTCTTAACTTTCAGATGTAGGGAAACCTTGGCTTAGGCATTGGGCGTTTATCCATCCCAGACCCCGGCCAGGGATCTGGGGAACATCAGGGTTATCCAAACTGTCTGGGGGTTGGGCTGGCTCTGGAAAACGTATGTTTAAGCAGAGATCCTGCCCCCCATTTTGCCACAATGCAGGGGAGAGTACTGACAACCTAATGGCCTATGGCCAGTGACTCCCCGCAACACAACCCCTTTAATGGGGAACCCTGGGATCACCAACCTGGGGGGGGCATGGGTCACCGCTTCATGCCCCCCCCCCATTTAGGGAAGATAAAGGATTCCTGCCAAGGCCTGAAACTGCCAAAGTTGTGACATTTTGCTATGGGGAAGGCAAAACCTGCCAATGCAGGGAAATTCCTTCCCAGTCCTTCAACAGCAACCATCAGTGACCGTAGCAGCACCCGCATACCTGTAAAGAAAGAGGTTAACCTGCAAAAGGAAGGCATAAACTGAGGGAGGGCAGGGTGGGAGAAGCTCTGGAGCCGACTGAGGAATCCCAGGTAAGTTCTGCCCTCTATTGTGTGTGCAGGGCGGTCCTAAGCCTACCTGGTCAACTCCCCTGGCAACACCTCCCCAGCTGGGATTGGTTAACTGTCTGAGGTTGGTGGGAACCTCCAGGTATCCAGCTTGGGGAGGTGAAGCCAGTCTGACTTGCCGGGGATCACGTAGGGTAAGGGGGCTGCGCGCGACCACGAACAAACCGCCCCCCATTTGAGGTGGGGAGCGGTCATTTCTTGCCACACTTTCAAAAACAACAGATTGTTGGAGTTGCCTAGATCATCTTTGCTCGTAGCTCTGGAAGGCTTTTTGCCTCCTCTTGGATTATGCTTGCTTCAGCTGTATGATGGCATTTGTTGTTCATGTACCTTCTGCAGGGTATTTCTGCTGCCCTGTGTACACAGGTTAATTGAATGGGAAGTCTAGTGAGTAAATGGTATGAAGGGAGAAGTTTGGGTTGAGTAGCTTTCTTGTTTCATTCCAGCTCTTATCAGCTTAACACCTAAGGCTAATGAGCTTTACACCTAAGGAACTACACATGTGGTAATACCTGGTGGATCTACAGTACATTTACAAGCAACAAACCTTTAACATTTAGATCAAATAAGCAAATGCACTCACAAGCGCCTTTAAACTAGTCCCAGTCAACAAGCTGAAGCTCCACAAATCTGCTGCAGACCAACAAAGCCGCTTGAAATTATTTCAGATCATAATGAGCTATGATCAATTACAATTATTCATCGCTGGACATCTTGGTCTATTATTCAGTCCGGTGTAAGTGTAATTGTCTTATTATAATGATATGAGTCGAGAGAGGTTCATAGAGATAAGAAGCCTAATGTATCTCTCTGAGACAATTATGCCCTATTGTCCATTAGCCCAAATGAAGTCAGCTCAGTTTTCATTAGTCACAACCTCAGACTTAAGCTTGAGAGGGGAAGTGGAAGATGGCTCGATGCTGGATTCATTGTATTTGCCCCTCGCTTTTGGCTGAGCTCCAACCCTTAACAGCCATGAAACCTTATCGCTTCAGAAGGCCCGCTTGCCTCTTCCCATCCAAAAAATCAATTACATGCAACCAATAATAACTATGTTGCCTTGCCTTTCCCTGACTTGAGCACTGTCTGGTTGCTATCTAGATACATTTTCTTCTTCGACTACAGTCGTCTGTATTGGGAATCTAATTTGCTTTGTGCAACGCACAAAAAGAGTAACCTAATAGGGTTCGTGCTTTGTTCTTCGTTTAAAAACACACACATGCATACTTCTATGTCTTTGAAATCTGCAGTTACAGTGCGGGTCCTTTCCTATTATTGAAAAGAGTCATTACATATCTGGAATATTTAGATAGGGATACAATTCACCTTCATTAAAAAGAAGAAGAGGACTTTAGTCTATGACTTCTCTTTTCATTCCACTTCTTGTTTCTGGGACAGAAGTGCCTATAGACCCAAGCAACATGGGAAAATCCATAAACACTGGTGATAACAAGATAGCCCAACCCTTTTAAAGTATCAGTACACAGGCTGTAAAACTGAAAGCCAGATTTACTGATGGGAAACTGGCTTATGGCTAAGGCAACCACAATGTGAGGACAGTTCACCCTTTTTTTATTTTTCTGCCCATGAAAACTACAGCAGGAGCTTAGTGCAACGGAAGTCTTAGTGATCATAGCCACACACACACACATCCTGGTTCTTAGAATAATTGTTCATTCCTTTAAAAAGAATGAGCTTTTACATTTTACTAGCATGCATTTCAAGGTAACAGTTCGATATGGTGAAAACTATTTTATCCCATCTTTGAAGCAAACATAATGAAATTAACTAACACTGTTAACACTGACAGCAAGAACTATGGATTCCTGCCCAACTGCAGTTGTTAACAGTGTTATGTTGTTTTGGGGCATTTCATTACTTGAATTTTAGTTTACCTTAGCATAATAAGGTGGGTGGGAATGTATATGAAAAAAGATGTTATACTTGATGGCAGAGAAAGGCATACCAACCACTAGGGAATATTATCACCAGAGTCGTCTATTTGGGGAATGGAACTAATATTTGTTTGTTTTGCTCAACAGTTAAAATGATGATTCAATCATAGCTCAACATTTACAAATTTATTCAGATTAAGAATTTCTGCTTGCCAGATGGAGTGATCTGCCTTCTCCCCTCCACCCCAAATGCTATTCTGGGGTTCTATTGCTACCCCAAGCCAATATTCTTTTGCAGGCTCATATAGGGAGCAAGGTGGGAACAGGAACTGACATCTTTCATAATATGGTGCCCTGTGTGAGGTCAATTGTAATTTCTCAATTCTGGATCATCTCAATTTTGTGCTCCCTCAGCTTGTTGCCCTGTGGGGGGGAACTACCTGCACCGTGCCCAATTTCCAGTGCTGGCAGGAAGCCCCATTTTGCTAGTGGAAGTTTTTGTGCCAGCTTCCACTGACGGACTCATTAGTTGAACCCCACCCAACGTTTACATTTGTCAACCCTCTGATACCTATTTGGCTTTTGAACGTTTACCTGCATCCCTAAATGTGGAGGTTACACAGTGGTACCTCAGGTTACATACGCTTCAGGTTACATACGCTTCAGGTTACAGACTCCACTAACCCAGAAATAGTGCTTCAGGTTAAGAACTTTGCTTCAGGATGAGAACAGAAATCGTGCTCCGGTGCTCCGGTGGCGCAGTGGCAGCAGGAGGCCCCTTAGTTAAAGTGGTGCTTCAGGTTAAGAACAGTTTCAGGTTAAGTACAGACCTCTGGAACGAATTAAGTACTTTACCTGAGGTTCCACTGTATACCATATTTTTTGCTCTATAAGACAGACTTTTTTCCTTCTGTCCCCTTCCTGCCTTGCTGTAAAGCAAGCAAAGCACCTGTCCCGGTGTCTCCTCCTCCTCTTCTTGCTCCGGCGTTGTCTCACTTTACAGCGAGGCGGGAGGAAGGATGGGCAAGCAAAGTGAGAGCTGCGCAAATCGGGACAGAAGCTGTGCTTGCTTTAAAGCATGAAAAGCGAGAGCTGCTTACACGCTCTGTGTAGAATATTATTTTTCTTGTTTTCCTCCTCTAAAAACTAGGTGCGTCTTATGGTCAGGTGTGTCTTATGGAGCGAAAAATACAGCAATTTACTTCTGGCTAATATATATATATAAATAAATCCTCCATCAATTTATGGAAAAAAGAAATCGCATTTGAACATTATTGCCAAATTGCAGTTTGGTGAAATTCTCACGCGTGGTCTGCAAAGCCTGCTTGCCCTACTTAGTGCTAAGGGACGTTTGTGAGTTCTCCATATCATTTTGCAAATCACCTCCCCGACTTATTTACAAACCATCTCACAAGTGGTCTCACCCTTCTCCAGTGTCCGTACTTCAATTAAAGTCCAAGGAGAAGACATTCAAGGGGTCATTTTCCCCATGGTTCCCCCACTCCTTCCAAATTAGGAAGCATAGACAACCAGAGAGGCTACTGAGTGCTGGAAAGACATTTACTGGCAAGAAAAATGGACAAAGCACCCTCTTCCACTTTGCAACAGTAAGAGAAGACCAAAACCCCATAGGCACTGGAATAAAGAAATACTAAAGTGCCTTGAGAAAGAAACAGAGAAATGGAAGCTAATACAGAAGGGACCTCCTATATATAAAAAGGGAGCACATTCTACAGCAGAGCCGTGCTACCTGCCTCCATCATCAAGTCGTCTGAAGACTAACCTATCTGAGTTTGCATGCAAATGATTCAGCTGTAGCATTTATCTGACAATATCTTGCTTTCCCTCCCCCCCAAAAAAGCAGCTTAGACTGTGAGCATGGCCCAGAGATATCAGTCTGACTGCTTGCATGTAATGGGAATAGCATGTGCTTTTTGGTCCCTAGTTAGTGAAATGCTCTAGTTTGCATGGAGCAAATCACACACACACCCCAGAACTACTGGAGTTTCTGCCAGCCCAGAAAGGCACAAAAATTTTGATCTATTACTTGCTCACGGCCCTTTTTATTGTGTGAACTGGCTTCTCATCTCAGGTTTACACTGAAAAGCTGCGCTTTGAGAGATGGGAGGAGCACACTGTAGATACTGAACAGTATTCACAATCAACATGCATCTAAGGCAAACCGTGAAAGGAGAAGGCCAGGAATAAGGAGGATGAATAGTGGAGTGTGAACAATTCTGCATACTACAAGAAACTGGGGGAGGGGGGCTTTGATCTGAAATCATGCTTGTAAGTCACCACTAGGGAGAAATAAAACATCCACTGCAGGAAGCAGATGATAACTGATGGGATGTGTGGATTTACTGTTTGCTTGGCAAGGAATAACAAATAAACAGCAAATTATGCCAGCTGGACGTGGTGCTTTTGGTGGCTGAAGTGCAATAGAATTTAGAACCTGGTTGCTGTACCAGTTGCAAATTATTAGGTTTTATGGATACCCAAAGAACTTGGTTACATTCTCAGCAGGATGAATTCCCCAATGATACCACCTTGGAATCCTCTCAAAGAAGGGCATTGTAGAAATGAATAAAATAAATGACATGGCCGTTGAGTTCAAGCCCAAAACTTTGGACATTTTCTCCAGCTAATTTGTCAAAGGCATCAGTGGGAACTTTACTGTTTCCTGCAGTAAACTTCTTTCCACACTGATGTCACCACAGAACACATAAAAAGCGATCCTCAGACACTTCTCTGAGACCCCTTTGCCTGTCTCTCCCTCCTAGGGGCCAACTCCTAGCGGCCGAGAGGGATTCAGCTTTGACAATAAAATATTTGAGGTGGCCAGGGCCCCCCAAAGTTGATAGGCATTACTATTCAAATGATGTGTGTGCACCACATCATGTGATCGATCATGCGACGTGGGGCTTACCTGCCCCCTCTCAACATTTTATTCAAGTTGGCACTCCTGCTCTCCCTACTCCTATAGGTATCAAGACCAGTTACAGCAGTGGTGAAGTGTGCTAGCTATTGCCTCCCGTTTGTATCTTGATTCTGCCAAGAAGAAGAAGAAGAAGAAGAGTTTGGATTTGATATCCCGCTTTATCACTACATGAAGGAGTCCCAAAGCAGCTAACATTCTCCTTTCCCTTCCTCCCCCACAACAAACACTCTGTGAGGTGAGTAGGGCTGAGAGACTTCAGAGAAGTGTGACAAGCCCAAGGTCACCCAGCAGCTGCATGTGGAGGAGCGGAGGCGTGAACCCGGTTCCCCAGATTACGAATCTACTGCTCTTAACCACTACACCACACTGGCCAAGAACTCACTAGGTATGCATGTCATTCTCAGTCTCTCTCCCCGCAATCCCGGACACCCACACCCACTCTCAAGATGGATGTAATAACAATTTCCTGCCTGCAGGCTTGTTGTGCAGACATTAAAAAGGTAAAGGACCCCTGACAGTTGTGAATGACTCTGGGGTTGCGGCGCTCATCTCCCTTTACTGGCCGAGGGAACAGACATTTGTTCGTAGACAGTTTTTACGGGTCATGTGGCCAGCATGACTAAGCCGCTTCTGGTGAAACCAGAGCAGCCCACGGAAACGCCGTTTACCTTCCCTCCGGAGTGGTACCTATTTATCTACTTGCACTTTGACGTGCTTTCGAACGGCTAGGTTGGCAGGAGCAGGGACCGAACAACGGGAGCTCACCCCCTCGTGGGGATTCAAACCGCCGACGATTTGTACCTTCCAATCGGCAAGCCCAAGGCTCAGTGGTTTACACCACAGCGTCACCCGCGTCCCTTTGTGCAGACTTTAAGGATGGGCAAATCTCTCCATTTTTGGCTTCTCTCAGTTCTGCATTTTTGCAGTCTTCAGTTCTGCTTGCCACATTTCCTATCTATCTATCCATCCATCTATTTATCTATCTATTTTGGCAATTTATTTAATTAAGAGGTCCCTGTGGAAAATCAATCCATATTTTAGTGTGGATTTCTCCTAATTTATTTTAAGCATAGTTTCCCTTGATATGCACATTTCCCCCCAAAGCAAATTCCCCATACTTAATACATTTTAATACTAATACTAATACTACAGTGGTGCCTTGGTTGAAGAACAGCCCTGTTTACAAATGATTCGGTATACGAACTCCACAAAACTGGAAGTAGTGTCCCGGTTTGTGAACTTTACCTCGGTCTACGAATGGAAGCCGAACGGTGGAAGAGCACCAGCAGTGGGAGGCCTCATTAGAGAAAACCACTGAGCCTAGGACTTGCCGATCAGAAGGTCGGCGGTTCGAATCCCCATGATGGGGTGAGCTCCCGTTGCTCAGTCCCTGCTCCTGCCAACCTAGCAGTTCGAAAGCATGTCAAAGTGCAAGTAGATAAATAGGTACCACTCCAGCGGGAAAGTAAACAGTGTTTCCGTGTGCTGCTCTGGTTCACCAGAAGCGGCTTAGTCATGCTGGCCACATGACCCGGAAGCTGTACACCGGCTCCCTCGGCCAATAAAGCGAGATGAGCGTCGCAACCCCAGAGTTGGTCCCGAATGGACCTAATGGTCAGTGGTCCCTTTACTTTTACCTTTTATTTTCACCAGAGAAATATTGGAGGTTATGTGCTATGAACACACTGGACTGGGTGGAGTTGGGGATTGGTACAACGACCAACCATCATACCCATAAGGAAGGAACTAGATACCTTTTCCTACATCCCACCCACTGATGTAGCTGTGAGCCATTTCAGAAGCAGCCATGAGAAAGCCATCATAGGAATCTTTTGTTAACAAAATGCTATGCTGTTAAGGATAATTGTATATTGTATTCTCAGAATATATCCAACCCATTGCCCCTTCTCTTGCTTTATGACAGGTTAAAGGTCATTAAGGGACGTGGGTGGTGCTGTGATCTAAACCACTGAGCCTCTTGGGCTTGCTGATCAGAAGGTTGGCAGTTCAAATCCCCGCTACGGGGTAAGCTCCCGTTGCTCAGTCCCAGCTCCTGCCAACCTAGTAGTTCGAAAGCACGCCAAAAAGTGCAAGTAGATAAATAGGTCCTGCTCCGGTGGGAAGGTAAACGGCGTTTTCATGCGCTGCTCTGGTTTCAGTGTTCCACTGCACCAGAAGTGGCTTAGTCATGCTGGCCACATGACCCGGAAAAACTGTCTGCAGACCTGTAAAGCGAGATGAGTCCCACAATCCCAGAGTCATCTGCAACTGGACTTAACTCTCAGGGGTCCTTTACCTTTTAAAGGTCATTAAAACACACACACACACACACACACACACACACACACACACCAGGTCATTAAAAAATCTTAATCTAATGTTGCTGCTAAATCTAATATGAGATTTTCTTTTTCCTACAGAGCATCTTTCCCTTTATGCGTAAAAACTGATATTCGGGCTCCAGATATTTGGAATAATGTAATCAGGGGGGAGGCCTGCTTTACGGACTCATTGGTATAATGGTAGCGTTTCTTGAATCGTTCAGGGCCTTCTTCTGCCCTCAGAGTGGTCAAGGTACTCCTGTCAATATTTAATTTGTATTGACCCAAGGCTTGATTACAATGCATAATGCTGATTACTCCCATCTTCCAATAAAGCTTGCATGCCGGTTGCAAAAAAAACTCTATTGATACATTTGATTTGCCCTGACAGGGAGAAACAAGGAAAATGCTGACTTCCCAGCTTCCTGCTGCGTACCTTGTATATTATTACCCAGAAAGGGAACATGGCAACATCCCTAAAAGTTAACCACTTCCTCTGTGGTTATGCTCCGTGTAGGCTGAACAAACAACCCACATTTACTAAAGAGGAGCTGGAGTAAAATCTGGACTTAGAAAAGTTATACAGTCTGAAATACACTCAGAGAGAAGCCATCAGTTTCATCCAGTTTATTTCAGATTAGTCAGATAAAAACAGTCAGTCATCGGGTGTGTCCTGGCCTGCTGGTCCCTCCCAGACCCTGGCTATATATCCTGTAACCACACCCTAGGTCACACCTGATAGGCTAGTTCAAACTTCCCTTCTGGAGCTGGATTGGATGGTTCCACTGTCAATCAGATGCTACCTTCTAGAATCCTCCTTGCCTATTATTTTAGGATCCCAACTCCAGACACAACATAGTCGTACCTTGGTTCTCAAACAGAATGCATTCTGGGAGTCCATTCAACTCCCAGAACCTTTCGAAAACCAAGGCACGGCTTCCGATTGGCTGCAGGAGGCTCATGCAGCCAATCGGAAGCTGCGGAAACCGCGCCAGACGTTCAGCTTCCAAAAATCATTTGAAAACCGGAACACTCACTTCCGGGTTTCGATTGTTCGGGGTCCGATTTGTTCGGGAGCCAAGGCATTTGAGATCCAAGGTATGGCTGTAATTGTATACCTATTGTGCTACAGGAAGACGGCAAGCTGCCTTACACTGAATCAGACCATTGCATACCCAGCAAGTGTCCCTATTTTCCAGGGACAGTCCCAGAATTACAATTACCCTTGACCACTGGTCTTTACCACTATACTCTGTGCTTTTATAACCCCCAGATGGGGTCTTTTTTCATGTACTCTGTTATAGGCCTTCCCTTAAATATGCCAGGAGCCATAGAAGTATACCTTCCTTTGAATAATCATTAGAAACAGTTCTTGAAATTAACTTCTAGGAAAGGGAGTATTTTTCAATTGTTTTGCTATTCAGGGTTTGGGAGCTGGGGAAGCAAATCACCTTTCCCTTTTCTCTCAAAATGCTGCAGTGAATTTGATACTCGTGAAAATTGAAGGACTAAAACACTTGCTTCAGGGTGACCTGGAGCTATGCAACCTTTCGGTAACAGCAGACTGACATTGACTTATCATTTCTGAACTGCAAAACTCCTCTGTCTCAAAGTTTGAGCAGTCTCTAAGCATCTTGTGTCAATTACACATCAAAACCAGGGGACCTTTCTTGTGATACAGGCAAGAAAGCTTGACGAAAGGCAACTTTTGGCTAGACTCGGGGCAAACTGGTCCAAGGATTGTATAGAGGTGATGTTCTGTGGGGAATCTGGCAAATAAAAATGTGTACGAGAGTGATCACAGATTTGATAGATCATATCCCTTGAAGGATGTCTTAAGCACCAAGGGAAATGGTACAGTGGTAGCTGCATCAATCATAAATGCACTAACAGGACTGCCTCGACTACTTTTTCCAGAATGGTTGGATTGGGAAAGGTTTGTTGGCACTGTATTTAAATCTTAGGATGGAAAGTGAGCATTCTAATGCCTGATCAATTGCTGGAACTGAAGTTAGGTAGAATGAATTATAGCATTCAGAAAGTAGTCCTCTGTTGAGGGTTATCAGGTCTTGAGCTAAGACATGGAACCTGCAAAGTATATTACTACCTCTCTGAAGCTCAGCACTGGCACCCCACAGGGATGCGTGCTGAGTCCCTACCTGTACTCGTTGTAAACATATGACTGTATTTCATCTGATCCATCCACTGCAATTATTAAGTTTGCGGATGATACCACCATAATGTGTCTAATTACGGGTGGAGATGAATCAGCGTATAGGGAGGAGGTTCAAAAAGTCTCTACATGGTGCCTAGAGAACAACTTGCACCTAAATATCAGTAAGACAAAGGAGATGGTGTTGGACTTTAGGAGGAAGAGAGGGGAACTAGCCCCATTGTATATTGGGGGGCTGTGTGGAGAGAGTCTCTTCCTTTACATTTCTGGGAGTTTACCTTAGTGAAGACCTCACTTGGAAAATCAATACAACCCAGGTGGTTAGGAAGGCCCAACAGAGACTCCATTTCCTCAGGGTCTTGTGAAAGAACAATGTCAAACAAAAAATGATGATCTCCTTCTACTGGTCCACAACAGAAAGTGTTCTTTCATATTGCATTGTCTTCCATGAACACGCTTTTAACAGTGAGTCCGTAAGTGACTGCGGAGGCCAATTCTGGATCCACACGTTCTTCCACAGTGGGGACATAGGTTTCTGGGCAGGAGTTGATCATGGTGAGGGTTTGCCAAACGTGCCTTCTCCTTAGCTCATTTCTCCCTTTTGTCCTGAGTTTGAGAGTCTTCAGAGTCCATGACATGGCATAGTAACAAAACAAAACAATACTCCCCTCACACAGTTTAAAAGGCTATTTGTTGCTGTTGTTTAGTTGTTTAGTTGTGTCTGACTCTTCATGACCCCATGGACCAGAGCACGCCAGGCACTCCTGTCTTCCACTGCCTCCCACAGTTTGGTCAAACTCATGTTAGTAGCTTTGAGAACACTGTCCAACCATCTCGCCCTCTGTCATCCCCTTCTCCTTGTGCCCTCCAGCTTTCCCAACATCAGGGTCTTTTCCAGGGAGTCTTCTCTTCTCATGAGGTGGCCAAAGTATTGGAGCCTCAGCTTCACGATCTGTCCTTCCAGTGAGCACTCAGGGCTGATTTCCTTCAGAATGGATAGGTTTGATCTTCTTGCAGTCCATGGGACTCTCAAGAGTCTCCTCCAGTACTATAATTCAAAAGCATCAATTCTTCGGTGATCAGCCTTCTTTATGGTCTAGCTCTCATTTCCATACAAAAAAGGCCATAGATTGTTTAATTAGCCAGGAGAGGAAGAATGTTTCTGTCTGGTGCCTATAGATATGTAACGAAGGCGTGAGATGAGCCTCGCTGGTGGGGGGGGGGGAAGCATTCTACAAGCATGGAGCCATCACAGAAAAGGCCTGCTCTCATGTTCCCACCTTCATGGAGGAGGTACACAAAGAAGGTATTCAGATGACGATTGCAGGATCCAGGTCAATTCATATGGGGAGAGGCGGTCCTTGATGACAAGGAAAAATTATGCTTGAACCAGCATGGGTGGTGATGGGGGGCCATTACACTGGGCACAGTTTTCTTTGGGGGGGTGCATTTCTCATTATGCCCTTTGCAAGTCTTGCAAAGCGGCTCGGGGCTTGCAGTGCGCCATGAATGGGCTCCTCACTGGGCAGATGGGTAGGCGGTGCAGCAAGGCCCTCTTGGCTCCAGTGGTCGGGGGTCGCTCCGGCAGCATACCCCACTCCCACAGGTCACCCAGTGTGCTGGTCCCATGAGTTAACCATGAGGCAAGGTCCATTCCGAGGTCGAGGGTGCAGTATGGAGGCAGTCCGTCAAAGCTGAAGCTGGGTCCAAGGCAGGGAGTCGGGTGAGGTCAGGAGCTCTGGCAGAAAAGCAGGACA